GTATCAATTTGTCCACCGGATTGTTTTCAATACAAAGGGACACTAGATGTCTTCATCAAAATTATTCGACAGGTTGGTGTCATTCTGTCACATTAGAATACTGATGTAGTTGATAAAATGTTTCTGGTACGCAGAAGTTCAATTTGGCATATAAACATATTTTGCCTGAATGATAAGTTCTGCTTTTATTTGCTTCAAATATGTTTGCTGCATAATAAACTTGAAACTAAGTCCTGGTACGATGTTTTGTTTTTTGGTGCCCTAAAGATGCTTCAATCTGTTATAAAGATTGGTTGTAAAATACATTCCTTTGATTTTGCTTTGATAAGATACTTAACAGAATAACAAGAGAGTTTTGCTTGCAGGAGGGATTTTCTAGGTTGTGGAGAGGAACCAATGCAGGTTTGGCTTTGGCTGTACCAACTGTGAGTTCAAGAAATTTATATTACTTGTACAATGGTAGTTTGAATGCAGAAAAACACTACCATAAGTAAGAGTCCTCTACTGATGGTTTGTTTACATCTTCAAACAGGTGGGGATCTATCTGCCTTTGTATGATGTATTCCGCAACAGAATGGAGGATTTCACAGCCCATAATGCTCCCAGGGCAACACCATATGTTCCTTTGGTTGCAGGCTCATTGGCACGGTCATTAGCATGTGCAACTTGCTACCCTATTGAACTAGCAAAAACCCGGATGCAGGTATCTTCAATATTAATTCCTTCATTTTGTCATTAGATGGGATGCATGAACTCTAGTTTCTTTCAACAAAGATGTCTTTCTGGAGTTCTAGTCCAAGTAACCTGAGCATCTCCTGACAGATGATATGCTGATAATTTATAATTGTTTGTGGTGTTACACGTAATGTGGAATTCACCCAGTGTAACAGACTGGTCTTTTTTGCTCTATTTTTCTTTGCATGTCACTTCTCAGATTCCTAGCTAACATGTCTGATTGCATTTATCTGGAAAGGCTAAAAGGTTTCTTCTTTCTTTGATGAATTTCACATTAATTTGGGTTTTAGTCATTTGGCCTGGAAAAGAAATTAGAAGAGAGGAAGAAGGAAGCATTATCCGGATTCATAATTTTTTAACTTCTGATTTGATTGTATATTCTAACAATTTTAATTTTCTGTTAACATCAGGCATTTAAGGAAACACAGGTTGGGAAGAAGCCTCCTGGAGTTTTTAGGACTCTCCTTGGTGTCCTTTCCAGTGTGAATGGGACAAACAACTCTCAGAACAGATGTAAGTTTTTTTGAGCTATAAACACCATACTCACAGTGCCTCTTTTCTATGTAATTGCTTGTGCTAAATGTTGCAACATCCTGTTTTGGAATAAAGAGTGCTAAGGAGTAAGGACAGTTCATTTTGCTTCTACTAAGGTTTGCAGATAATCTAGAACATGAAAACTCAGTTGACCATCTAAAATTACATGCTCATCTCTTTAAAACAATCCTTGCTAATGAACTTGGGTCCAGTCCTCTCCATTTCTATTCTAATTTTTCATGACCTCAGATTTCTTAGAGGATGAGCTTGTTTTGAGGACCATTAATTGTTGAAAGTGGATTCAGAAATGTCAGAAGCTTAGGATGTGTTATTATGACTGAATATGAAGCCTATATCAGGGGTTTAGGTTTTACAATGATGTTGCTAACGTGAGCATACAAGGTGTAAGCTTCAATGTCATGTTTGAAATTGAACTACTTCTGAAGGCCTTCCATGCAGGTTGATATGACACTGTGTTGTGCACATTATACTGGAATCTATCTGGGTGATATTTTTTAAAGGCTTTTGTGTAAATGGTGAACAATCAATTTGATGGCCTGTGTGTCCTTTTATTGAAATAAAAGTATATGGGGATGAATGTTCCTTACAAAAACTTCATTAATAAATCAACTAACCTAGTTTCATAAAGTGAGACTGATACTTTCCTAGGCTGAAACAATGATGAAGTTGTCTTAATGAAATAATATCATTAATCACTTGGAAAGAAGAATCCTTCACTGACTTGACATCTTTGTTGGCCTACTGCTCATGAGTATTTTGTTTCAGAATTTTCATGTTGATATTGTTTTCTATGTCAGTGCAAGGTTACCGTGTGTTGTGGACAGGCATGGGAGCACAGCTTGCACGTGATGTCCCTTTTTCCGCAATTTGTTGGTCAACACTTGAGCCTGTGAGTTCTGCTTGTTTACAATGTAGACCAGTAGCCCCTGCTCCAACTTAAAGAAAATAGTTTTTCAAAAATTCTCTTTAGCTAATGTTTATATCACATGCACTTTGGTGGCAACTAAATGTGTGTATTTATGCAGATAAGGAGAAGGCTTCTAAATTTGGTGGGTGAGGAATCCAATGTAGTTGCTGTTCTTGGGGCAAACTTCTCTGCTGGTTTTGTTGCCGGAAGCCTTGCTGCTGCTGCTACGTGTCCTCTAGATGTTGCTAAAACCCGAAGGCAGATAGAGGTTTGTATCTTCAAAATCTAATGGATGCTTGTCGTTGTTGCTGTTGTGTTGATGTAATCATCAGTTCATCACATCATATTTATTTTAGCATTTATGTTTTGGCTTGCAGTTTTATTTTAAGAAATAGATAGAAAGGGACTATTTGTTTGGTGCCTTCAGATATATGAAACCTGAAGGTCCAAATAAAGTAAGTGGGATAAAGTAGGGCTAGTTGATAACATTTGATTGCAAAAAAAAGAGGTGCACCTTGATTTTTAGGGCTGTCATTAGACTATTTTTTCTGTTGATCATCACATTGACATAATTAGTTTCTTCTAATTTACTATTTTTGCTATAATTTCAGAAGGATCCTATGAGGGCATTGGGGATGACAACACGGCAAACACTAATGGAGGTTTGGAGGTATCTCTCATGCTGCTTTATTTTTACTTCGGGACACCCTTCAGTTTTCTGTATTATTTTTCAGACGATAAATTTGGTACAAATTGATTCTTTCATGGGACAGGGATGGAGGGATAAAGGGACTTTTTACTGGAGTAGGCCCTCGTGTTGGCCGTGCAGGTCCTTCAGTTGGGATTGTGGTTTCCTTTTATGAAGTAGTGAAATATGTTCTCCATCAGCGTTTTGAGACGTCTTCTTGACAACAAGCACTCTAAGATAATTCTTTTGATCTGCTGAGCATTTTTCTTATGGTTGGTGATGCGGCACAGAAGCAACACTTGAGAATGGAGACACATGACAAAACCAATCATTTTGTGGATATTATAGAAGGAAGATGATATGCAGTTTTTGTGGTGTAGATCCTTTATGTAGGTTTCAAGGACAACCACTCATGTGGATACCCTGCACAGCTTAGCAGGCTGGGAAATAAGGCACATTTTTGACATACAACACAGGGTAGAACTTTTGTTTTCCTTTAGTTCAACAGTTTTGGTTAATAATGTATCATGCAGCTCACTCCAATTCGAGCTGAAATTTTGTTAATCTATAATTTTTTGGCTGAGGTGGTCCCTCAGTCTAACTAATTATAGCTCCTTTTGCTTACCATTGAATTAATAATGTTTACATGATAGTAATTCTAATCCGGAAATTTGAATTTTTGGGAAAAAAGAAAAAAAAGGGAGGTGACGGTCCCTCTTAATCATTTTTTTGTTACGGAGTTGGACAAAAACTGTAACTATTACCCTTTTTTCAAGTATCTAATGTAGAGATGATTTGAATCTAACTTCTTTATTTACTTATATAGTTAAAATGTCTCTAGATTAGTTTTTGTGTATTTTAAAATTAATCTCTTTTTAGACAATTTTAAAGTTTATTATTATATTAGTTTGATGTATTTAATAAAACTGATTTCTTTAGATATTAATTGGAAAACTCTTTTAACTTGATTCTCTTTGTATAAAGTACAAATTAAACTTAGCCAAATTGAACCACAAGTTAATTTTAGTATGCTAACATCCAATATGTAGCAAAAAAATTCAAGTAAGAAATTGTACGAATTATAAAAACTAAAAAGTAATATGAGTTGTAAATCATTTTCACGAAAATAAAAAAGATAGCATTAAACAAACGAATTAAACTCCAAAAACATCAATGAGAAATATCCAATTGCATCCACAAAATATTAATGGAGAGATTAATTATCACTAGGAATCAATTCGAAATACAACGGAGAAATTCTACACAATCCAAATGAAAATCCACCCTTGATCAAAACATTGCATCCAATATTATCACCCCAATTGAATTCCCTCCTTTCTGATCTCCCCCTGGCCCCTAAGACAAAACAAAACCCATATTCCCTTTCCATTGCCATTGAAATTCATCTCCTCTGCCTTAAGGTTCCTCCATGAATACCAAAATGACCAATTAAATTCAATAAAAAAAAAAAAGAAAAGAAAGATCAGTGAATAAGGTACGTAAGCAGTAACGCCACCAACATCAAAACATATGCTATTCCTTGGTCTATTGTGGTCCCTGCAAAACCAACACAATAAAGAAAATATGTTTTTAGAGAATCTGAAAAAGGATTGTTGAAATTAGACAAAAGAAATAATTAAATTATAATTTCCTATATCAATACACATATATAATAGAAAGGAAATTAAAAAAGAAGGGAAGAGTTGTAGATTCTACACATATTGTTGTATATCTACTGATATATTATTTATAATCAGATGTACCAAAACAATAAAAATGTAGATATTAAAGAAAAACGGTTTACCATCACTTGTAGGTGTGGGAGCTGGGGCGGCAGATTGCGCCCGAGCCATAGGCAAAGTAAATACGGTGAGAATTAAAACCACTACGGTGAAAAGAACACTAGATGACACCTTAGAGATAGCCATTTTTCTCTTGTCTTCTCTTCTTCTTTCTCTTGGATTCTTTTGAAATTGAGAAAAATAGTTTTCTCCCCCTATTGAAGGAGAAAAGAGAAGAAGGGAGAGAAGAGATAGAGAAAGCCTAGGCAGAACGTGAGAAGAGGCAAAGTTGTGAATCATTTGAAGAGAACAAGAGAGGCATTTTTATAACTTGCACTTTGCATTGAAGGATAGTGCTTGCAAATGTGGGGTCCACCCGCATGTTACGAAGACCCACATACCCATGTTACTAGCTATCTCCTTTTGTTTTTTTCTTTTCGCTTTCCAAATAACTCCAAGCTGTAAATTGAGAGATTGTTAGAAATGGACAGCCTGGTTTTGGAGGCTATTGCCAGAATGGAAGGTTCTGTCTCTCAATTCTTCTATGAATGAATGTATGAATATTCTCATTTTTCCTTAGTTATTTATTTATTTCGAATGGTGGGAATTGGGAGATTGGAGGAATAGTTGCAACAATACTACAGTTGTAACTTGAATATTTAACGAAGAAGTTAGGGTAACCGATGCATTTTCATTGTGGTTAATGTTACAAGTGCATTTTTCATTTTTAAATTTGGGTACACTTAGCCTTTATTTATTAATTTTGTATTGTTTTGTGTTGTAACTATAAGTATAGATTTTTTTATATTTTACTATCTTAAAATATACAAAATATAATTAAAATTAATAAAAAAATTAATTAAAAATTAAAAATTTACATTTTAAAATAAAGTTGTGTGTGGGAAAAAGTCTATATAAAGAATTGTCAAACAAAGCCTTATTTTTATGGCAGCATTTGTTGCATTTACACAAATCCAGCTACGAACTCCACTACAAAAGATCAATAACAAAAGTGTATTTATGATTGTTGATGAACAATGCTAAAAAGAGAAAAAAAAGAAAAGAAAAAGGAAAATGTCGTTTATGGCCTCACATTTGTTGCATTTTCTTGGTTATATTAGCATTACAACCCAAAATCGAATCTTGGTCAAATAGTTATATATAGAGAAGGAAACTAACAAACAAACCAGCTCAAATCCAAATAGGTTGTTGGTGAGAAAATCATTATATATTTTGGATGTGTCCTCCCTATCATCATTCATTGGTATCCAACCTGTGTTGAGAATGACATGACAAGCAATCCAATCACTGACAGTGATGATCCAAACTCATCAAGAAAACGGAACAGCAAAGACATTGGAGATGTTGGAAATAATTGGTAATCATGAATTTAGACGCATACATTGGACGTAGGGATTAT